TTTTTTTGAGACAGGGTCTCCCTATGCAATTCAGGCTGGCCTTGAGCTCACTTTATAGCCCAGGCTGGTCCTGAACTTACAATGATCCTCCTGCCCCAGCCTCCCAAATGCTGGGATTACAGGTGTGCACCACTATGCCCGGCTATTGAACCAAGATTTTGAGAGATGTTATCTTTCATAAATGTAGATACACAGAAATGACAGCTTTTGACCAAAAATAAATAAATCAATAAATATCAGTGCTCACTGGTGTGGTGTTGCATTGCCTGTAATCCCAGCACTTGGGAGGCTGAGGCAGGGGGATCTTTGCAAGTTTGAGGCCAGCCTGGGCTACAAAGTGAGCTCAAGGCCAGCCTGAACTGCATAGCGAAACCCTGTCTCAAAAAGACAAAAAAATAAATAAGAACTTAAAAATGACAGCTTTTGATTTATTAAGGAAGCTTCAATTTTTTTTTGTGCATTTAGTACCTACACAAAAAGCTAATGTTATAATAAAGGATTTTTTTTTTGTTTTTTAGTAGTGGGGATTGCCCTAGGGCCTTCACATTGAGCTATATCCCCAGCCCTTTTATTTTATCTCAGGTCTTGCCAAGTTACTTAGTTGCCCAGGTTGGGTTTGAACTTCCTATTCTCCTGCCTCAGCATCCCAGAATCCTGAGATTACACCCATGTGCTACATGCCTGGTGTGTGATAAGGTACTTTCAGTGAGTCAAATTTGGTCTTGCTATGTAGTTCAGGCTGGCCTCAAATTTGCTATGTAGTCCAGGATAGCCTGAAACTTCCAGTCCTACCTCAGCCTCTCCAGTACTGGGATTATAGGCATATGCCACCATGACCAGCTGCATTTTCTTTTTTCTTTTTCTTTCTTTTTTTGTCTTTTTGAGACAGGGTCACACTATATATTTCAGGCTGGCCTTGAACTCACTTTGTAGCCTAAGTGGGTCTCAAACTCACAGAGATCCTCCTGCCTCAGCCTCCTTGAGTACTGGGATCACAGGTGTGTGCCACCACGCCCAGTCCTCAAATAAAGCATTTTTAACTTGTAGTTCTCATCACTGCCATATTATGTGTCTACGTCAGTCACCTGAGTTTTCTGTGAAATATATTGGGCTGAATGGACAAAACATACTTTATTCGTAATACCTTGGAAGCAACTTTTAGAAGCCTGATCACATCCACTTGTAAATCTGTCATTATGGTTGGAGATTTAACTGAACTGGTTCACATGATTGCGGTGGCTGAGAAGTCCTGTGACAGGCCATCTGAAGACCTCAGGTGCCAGCAGCACGGTTCTGTCCAAGTCTAAAGGCCTCTAATCAAGGAAGCCAGCAGAGTAAATCTTCAGCTTAAGGCTGAATCCTTGAGCACTTGGAGGGGTGTTTTGCACTGGTATAAACCCTGGAATTGGAAGACCAGCCAGCCTGCGATCCTGATGTCCAAGCCCACAGGAAACTCAGTCCCAGCTGCCCTCTCAACTGGAGACGGATCATTTGCCTTATACATCTGTTTTTCTGAGTCCCCAGGCTACTAGATAGTGTTAGCCTTCAGTTTTCCCTACTTGGTCCACTTGGGGTTTTTTGGTATCGGCAATTGAACTCAGGACCTTGCGCTTGCCAGGCAGGCACTATGCCGCTGAGCTATATCCCCAGCCTAAGACAATATCTAGGCATGGTGGTGCAAGACTCTGGGATACTGAGGCAGGAAGATCATTAGTTTGGGCCCAGCCTGGGAAATCTAGCAATTTAGGGAGACCCTGTCTCAAAATAAAAAATAAAAATTGGGCTGGGGATATACAGCTCATTGCAAAGGCCTTGGTTTCAGTCCCCAGTGCTGCAAACAAACAAAAAACATTAATTCCTTCCCCAGAATCTGCTTTTCTACTCCTTTTCCAATTGGAATTGCAGTTTTGGGAATTCTGATTGTCAAGATTTCGATATCTGAGATTTTACTCTCCGTTTGTTTGGGTTTTTTTGGTCTTTTTGAGACAGGGTCTCGCTATGCAGTTTAGGCTGGCTTTGAGCTCACTTTGTAGCCCAGGCTGGTCTCAAACTCACGGTGATCCTCCTGCCTCAGCCTCCCAAGTGCTGGGATTACAGGCCTGCACCACCAAGCCCGGTCTCCAATTTTTTTTTTTCCCCCGGTACCAGGAATCAAACTCATGACCTTGCGCTTACCGGGTAGGCGCTGTGCCACTGAGCTAAATCCCCAGGCCCCGGCCTCGAATTTTTGATATTGAGGATTTTTTTTTTTTTTATCTTTTAGGATTTCTTTTTAAAAATTCTTTTATTTGGGGGAAGGGTGTCTTACTATGTAGCCCAGGGTGGCCTCAAACTCTGGGTGATCCTCCTGCCTCAGCCTCCCTAAACTGGGATTATAGGCATCCACACTGCCTCTGATTCCATGTATCAACCCTTAATCACAAATTCCCGGCTTAGCACTAAGGTGCTAATACATTAGAATATATAAAACATGCTTACCCCTCTCCATCTCTGCCAGAGGGACTGAGCACACCCTCACAAAAGCAAGCCTGCCTGAATATAGACCCTAGTATCATGCGGGGCGGGGGCAGATCACAGCCCCAGTCAGGGCCCCACCGGGATTCGAACAGGATTTAATTCTTCGGCCTCTCCCCGGGGTTGCCTTCTGTAGAGCTGTGGACCTGTCCCTAGAATTTCTGGCAGCTTCTTTGTGTCTGTCTCTTTGTCTCTGCCCGCCTCACTGACTGCAGTCTTTTGTTCCGGGGTCTCTGGGCCGGTTTCCCTCTTGGTTCCTTGCCTTTTTTTTTTCCGCCTGTTTTTCTTATCGCTCCTGCCACTCTGCTTCAAAGACTTTGTATTTATCTCACACGTTTTTACATGTCTTGTATCTGTTCCTGTATTTTTGGTCAGCCGCCGTCCCTCCGTCTTTCTGCCCGGGGTTCTGACCATCCGCCTGGCTCTCCCCAGGAGCATTTACCTGGTGTGTGTCTGTAGCCGCGGCTCCCGCCAGGGTCTCCCCATCCCAGCCCCCATCCTCACCCCCGCCCCGGCCCTCGGCCCCACAGACCAGCTGGGCTTTGTTTCCCGATCCCGGCGCCCCGCCCCGTCTGGGGTCCCCGCCGCCGCCGCCCTTTGTCTGCCTGGGTCTCTCCCCTACCCCTTTCCCCGGGTCTCTCTCGATCGCTCTTTCTTTGTCTGTCCCGGGCCGCGGCCAGTCAGCCCTGGAGGTCCGCGCCGGTGGCCTGAGGCACCGCGACAATTAGGGACAATCCTGGGCCCTCATCACCCAGCTGCAGCCCAGGAAGCACACGGTTAATACCACCGAGTTCGGGCCGCCCGTCCGCGGCTCAGAGCGGACCTCCCGGAGGCGCGCAGCCGCCCGCCGGTCACCGAGCTCCAGCCGACGCCGGCCGCCCCCACAGGCGCGCAGGTCCTCCGGCCGCCTAGAGCGGCCCCCGCGCGGCGCTTCCGCTTCCCGTCCCCGCCCCCGAGGCCCCGGGACGCCTGGGACCGAGCCCCCTCCCGACTTGGCCCGGAGCCCGCCTCCCGGAGCCGCCGATGCTCGGAGACCCGCGCCCCGCTGAGAAGCCCCGGAGAGCGTCGGGTGGCAGAGCCGGGGGCGGCCGGCGAAGTGAGCAGGGCCGGCTGCGTGCAGCGCGGAGCAGCAGCAGGTGCAGCAGCAGCAGCAGCCGCGGGGGTCACATGGCCGAGTGACCGCAGGTTATGTGTCTGTCCCCTTGCTCGGGGCGGCGTGCCGGCGATGGAGCGCGCCGCAGAGCCGTGGGGCTCGGATCTCCACGGTCGCGAACAGAGGGAGCCGCTGAGAGGCGCCCGGGCAGGTGAGGGCCGCGGCAACAAGGGCAGGTAATGGCTGGGCGGGGACACTCGGCTGGGCTCTGCCTGCTGGAAACCCGGGTAAAATAGGACGCAAGCTGTGCCTCCAGGGAGAGAGCAACGTTTCTTAGCACCTCCGTGCGCCAGGCCATGAGGGGCATCTTCTCAAGGACTTTCCTCCCTCCCCCACGGTCTTCGCCATTCTCGACACCTCTGTCCTACTTCGGGCCTCATTGTGTGTCCCAGCAATGGCAGTTGCTAAGACCTCACCTCTGCCCTTTTCTCCCCAGTGATGGTTCTGCAGCCAGATGGATCCAAGTCCAGATCTAATTTCGTCTCCTCAAAACCTACCCTAGTTCCCTTGTAACTACTAATAAAAAGCCTTACTTTTATCAAGCCCGGCGCAATAGTTGACTTGTATCAAGCCGGCACTTAGTGCACGCCTGTAATACCCAGCATCCTGGGAAGCTGAGGCAGGAGAATGTCCAGTTTGAACCCAGTCTGGGCAACGCAGTGGCCTCGCAAGAACTTGTCTCCAGGGGCTGGGGATTTAGCTCAGCGGCAAAGCGCCTGCCTGGCAAGCGCATGGTCGTGAGTTCGGTTCCCGGTACCGGAGAAAATCCAAAAAACCAAAAAAAAAAAAAAAAAAAAAAAAA